TAAACAAACAATAAGAAAAACCTAGACAAGAAACTTGGAAGCATGGCATAGGAAACATGGCGTGGACAACAGACGACCTGACAATCACACACTGAAAACAGAGGACTTAAATACACAGGAGGTGATTAGGGGAAGTGGAGACACATGAGGAAACAGCTGGCACACATGAACATAATGATGTCCCAGTGGGAGAGTAAAACTGAACATGATGAACACAGAACACCAGACCTCTTCACAATAAAACAGGAAACATAATGAGACATCGACATGACAACCCGAACTTGACAACGTAAGACACAGACATGAAACGCATGAAGAGCAGGGGAGATTTAACATGGTTGGAAACACGAGGGGAAAATAATAACTAGAAACACTTAGGCATAATAATACAAACTTGATAACATAAGACACGCAGCATGAAACACGAAGGGTGAGGGGAAGCTTAAATACAGGGGAAGAAAACACAAGGAGTCTAATAACCAAATGAACTTAGATAACCTAATGAACAAAATAAACTCAAACTTAAAACGCTGGGTCAAAAGACCCAGGACCATGACAGAGCCCCCCCTTCAAGGGCGGATTCCAGACGCCCAAAACCATAAAGAAATGCAGCAACAAGAAAACAAACATGAAACAAAACCAAAACAACCCACCCAGGGCGGGCGGCGGGGGTCCAGGACGGAGGGCCAGAAACAAGGCCACAAAACAAAACGTCCAACAAGAGCAAAGGAAACAGTTCGCAACTCCTCAGGGGGCCGACCCGGAGGGTGACGATCCAGAAGTCCATAGTTGACTCGAGCAGGGGGCCGGCCCGGCGGCAGACGGCACAGGAGAACACAGTCAAATAGTTCCGGGGGCCGACCACGCGGAAGGCAGCGGCGGCGACGAAGGAGACCACGGAGCAGTTCAGGGGGCCGACCACGCGGAAGGCAGCGGCGGCGACGAAGGAGACCACGGAGCAGTTCAGGGGGCCGGCCGCGCGGAAGGCAGCGGCGGCGACGAAGGAGACCACGGAGCAGTTCAGGGGGCCGGCCGCGCGGAAGGCAGCGGCGGCGACGAAGGAGACCACGGAGCAGTTCAGGGGGCCGGCCGCGCGGAAGGCAGCGGCGGCTCCCAAGTGTCAGGCGTACCGGCCAAGGCTTGGAGGGCACAGGACCAAGCGACGCTGAAGCAGAGGCTGAAGCAGAGGCCGGACCAGGCGACGCTGAAGCAGAGGCAGAGGCCGGACCAGGCGACGCTGAAGCAGAGGCAGAGGCCGGACCAGGCGTAGCAGAGGCCGGACCAGACGAGGACGAAGACTCGGATGAAGCCGGACCAGGCGAGGACGAAGACTCGGATGAAGCCGGACCAGGCGAAGCACAGGCTGAAGCTGGGCCTGGCGAGGCTGAAGGCTCTGATGAGGCTGGGCCTGGCGAGGCACAGGCTGAGGCCGGACCAGCCGATGACGAGGCGGCCGCAGATGGCGGCTTAACGGGCTCCTCGGGCCCTCCAGCTGACGAGGCAGGTTGCTTTTCAAGTTGCAGCAACACACAGTCTATAGTGGGTGAAATGAGTTTGTATGAGTTCTCAGACTGAGATGTGGCAGAACCAGGTGAGGCGTCGTCCTCAGGCTGAGGCGTAGAAGCAGCAAGCAGTAGCGCAGCAGGTGGTGGTCCTGCAGGCGGCGGCACGGGAGCCGCAGGAGGTGGCGCTGCAGCCACAGGTTCACCACCTGGCAGAAGGTGGCCAGACGGGCTCCTCGGGCCCTCCAGCTGACGCAGAAGGTGGCCAGACGGGCTCCTCGGGCCCTCCAGCTGACGAGGCGTGAGGCTGGACGGGCTCCTCGGGCCCTCCAGCAGACACAGGAAAAGGCTGCACAAACTCCAACTTAGCCCCTGGCTCCAACCTGGCCCGGATCTCGGTCCCACAGTGGCTTAGCTGAGCCTCATGGCTAGCATTTCCAGTGCAAACACTCTTATAACTTGACTTCTTGGAAGCAAAGTTCGTAACATGATCAATACACAGGGATGCTAGGTAATTGTGCAGAGGGATAAGATATTCTGTGGAAGACTTGGCTGGTGATTTTGCAGTCTTAGTCATTTCATAAACATGCCCATGAACCTTTAAGGCAGTGTTTGTTCCAATATTGTCCTTAGAAAAAACACGTGGATTCAGAATACAATCACCCACCTCATGTTGCTGTGAGCCATGGTGACGACCTGGACGCCGCCTCCTCCTGGAAGCGGTGGTTGTGGAGGCCGGCGCCGCTAAAGCTGAGATGAATGTAGCACTGGAAGCAGCCACCGGTTGAGGTGAGGGAAACGCAGCACTTCTCTGCTGCAGTGGCGACATGGAGATGGAGTCAGGTGAGAGACTGAATAAGCCGACTCTTACTCCTGTAGCCGGTGAAGGAAGAGCTGCATCACCGCAGGGCTGGTGTGATTCAGCCTGCACACTGGGCACCTGCTCAGACGATGATGGTGAGGCAGAGGAGTTCGTGGCTGTAGCAAACTTCTTTAAATCTGCAGGCAGGCAGTCCATAAAACCTAGGTTAGCCATGGCTATCCAGGTCAACTGAGCCCGAATAGCCTCCTTCTCCTCTCCCCTGCTTCCCTGCACAGGAGATAATCCAAAGTCCACGAAGCTGTGTAACACAAATCTTGAATTCAAAAAAGTCACTGAAATAAATGTCCGCTGGGTCCAGCATGGTCAGGTCGTTCTGTCACAGTCTGGCGAGGGCAGACTGTATGAATTGAAAAAGGACCCAAAATGCAGACTCCAAGGAACAAGGAACAAAACTTGAATGTTAACAAAAAGCGAGCCGTTTAATATGGCTGGAAAAAAAGGTACAAACAAAGGGCAAGGCAAACTGAAGCAAAATTAACACAAACCTAAACTGGGAAATCTAAACAAACAATAAGAAAAACCTAGACAAGAAACTTGGAAGCATGGCATAGGAAACATGGCGTGGACAACAGACGACCTGACAATCACACACTGAAAACAGAGGACTTAAATACACAGGAGGTGATTAGGGGAAGTGGAGACACATGAGGAAACAGCTGGCACACATGAACATAATGACGTCCCAGTGGGAGAGTAAAACTGAACATGATGAACACAGAACACCAGACCTCTTCACAATAAAACAGGAAACATAATGAGACATCGACATGACAACCCGAACTTGACAACGTAAGACACAGACATGAAACGCATGAAGAGCAGGGGAGATTTAACATGGTTGGAAACACGAGGGGAAAATAATAACTAGAAACACTTAGGCATAATAATACAAACTTGATAACATAAGACACGCAGCATGAAACACGAAGGGTGAGGGGAAGCTTAAATACAGGGGAAGAAAACACAAGGAGTCTAATAACCAAATGAACTTAGATAACCTAATGAACAAAATAAACTCAAACTTAAAACGCTGGGTCAAAAGACCCAGGACCATGACAGATGGCCAAGACCCAACATCCAATAAACCAGAATTTTCCTTTAAATGGGACCAAAGGAAGCACCATGGTAACACTAGCTATCGCTGTGATAAACTCTCCAAAAAGTCAATTTCAAACCCAGATGGGATGCATAACCAGTCAAATAAATGACCACAGACAGCCCACACAGAGAACATGTGTGTGCATTTAAAGTGTGTTTTGTGTATATTACATTCTTGCCAAGTTATGGGCATGCCTGAGAAGCAAAATGTCTCATAACAAAAGCACAGAGAAAGGGCCAGAATGTGAATGGCTTTATATGGGTGTTTACAATTCTCCCTTTTTTCCCCCCTCACATTATTTTAGCATGCTAACCGACACACGAGCTGGACGAGACTAAGGTTTCACATGCAACTGTAGGATAAACCCACATGTACAGATACCAGTCACACTGAGCAGAGATGGTGAGCCACAGTACTCAGGTAGCAGAGAAACAGTCATGAATTCAGTGAATTCAGACTTCATTTTAAAAAACAGACTTAGAGTGCAGCTCTGCTGAGACAGGTGCCACACACACACACACACACACACACACACACACACACACACACACACACACACACACACACACACACACACACACACACACACACACACACACACACACAGCTACATAGAGGTCTTAACACACAGCCAACAGGCACAGTGCTAACCTTTGACCTCCACTGATGCTATTTGAAGGCTACTAGTGGAGGTAATGGGTGAGAAAAATGCTCACACATGAGTTTGAGCTCCCTGTTTCAGCCTACCTCTCTCTGTCTCTCTTTTTCTTTGTACACATCAAACAAAGAGATGCTCTGTCAGATATGATATCACCTTGCCCTGCCAATGAAAAAGCAAAACATGCACCTTAACTTCAAATGATTGAAGACCTCAAAGAAAGTGCAGAGGAACACTATCAACTGGCAAAACTGAATAATTGAATGGCAGACCCCAAAGCTAATGTTCTTTATCCTTGGGCCAACAATTCAAATGTTGACTGCAATATATAAATGGACTCCAAATGGAGTGCATCAATGTGACAGCAATGGGGCATTTTTATAGGTTAGAATTTGATTGTAGTAATTCCATCTAATATGTCACTATTGAGACATAATCTTTGACTGTGACTTTTTATGTAGCTGTACAGCTTTAATTTTCATCATAAAGATTTGTTGATTCAGGCCTGACATCAATCAGATTTGAGTGTGGCTAGTGAAATTCAACTCAGCTTTTAAAAAATGTGGTTAATCACAATTAATTCAAGATACTTTTTTCAAATATGGGCAGGTAAACTTTTTTCTCTTGGTAAATAACAAAAATAACAAAAAAGCCTTTTCCCTGAGCAGCAAAACTGCTGATAAGCTATTATTGCTCCTTTATAATTAAATTTATTTATAATTCAATTATACATGTGTCAGAACATTTTTAAATTATTAAATAAAATATTGAAAGAATGCATCAGTGCAGTGAATGTATTGTTCAGGCAAAAGAAAAAAAACAAACATATTTTGTGCATCTCCATAGTTATTTTCCTACCTGGTGCTGCTTGCATCTCCATTCGACCTGCAGTTGTGATGAGCGCCTCCAAAATCCTGATGTGATGCTCTGGATTTACATCTGCACTGTAAACAAAGCACCAAAGTGAAAACAAATTGTAGTAAGGGACACCATTGAACTAAGTTTTGCATAAAAAAGTAAATATAGTTCATGATGTACTTTCAGGTACAATTTCAATTGTGCTGTGTAGAAGTCAGGTTGATACACAGCTGACAGCCCTATTTGACAACTGTTAGAATTCATATTATGACAAGAACCAACCAGCTAAGTAAAGAGAAATGACAGTGCATCATTACTTTAAGAATTGAAGGTCAGTCAGTCTGGAAAATTGCTAAAACTTTGAATTTGTCCCCAAGTGCAGTCTCAAAAACCATCAAGTGCCACGACACACCTATACATCAACTGTTCAGAGGGGATTGTGCAAATCTGGCCTTTATGGTCAAATAACTGCTAAGAAACCACTACTAAGGAAAAGCAACAAACAGAAGAGATTTGTTTGGGCCAAGATTATTTGTATTAGCCAAGCTCAAATAAAAACGTGACAAGATTACCTTCATCCAACTAAAACAGCTGATACTTTTATATTTAAAAAATGCTCTTGCTAACAGAAAACCAAGTGTGATATTTGGCTCATCTTTAAAATCAACATCCTAGAGAGAGATCCAGGAGAATGGCATTTAACAAGGCTTCCGAAATTGTTTTGTTCATCTGTGACCTGCTTACGTTCATCTGTGACTGTTTTTCCAGAATTTACCAAGGAATTTCTTCTCCTGGCACTGTGTACTGTGGAGATTTGGGGAGGGCAGTCAGTGAGTCAGTGAGTCAGAAATGAGGGTTGTTTGTGTAGCATGGTCAGGCAAGTTTACCTTTGACGTGAACAACGGGTGGAAAAAGAGTGGGGTGGTATTTCACATTGTGCCATGTTATTTGCACCAGATGCCATAATAGCTCATTTCATGTGTATGGAATCTCTGATTAATCCTAAATTGTTCTGCAGTCTGTAAGCATTTAAACAATTACACATCTTTTCTTGTCTGAGCCTTACCAAAAAGTGCTAGATACTAAAGAAAATATGAGGTAAGGCATCATTTAGTATTTTTCTTGACGTGAACAAGACCAAAATAAATAAATGTTTCTCATATTTTTGTCTGAGTCTCCAAAGCCTAATATACTATCTCTTTCCTCTGTGCCATTTCAATTACCTGTTCAATAAACAGCAAAAAAATTTCTTAATGGAGAATGAAAAGAAAATATTTCTACTTGTCTGTCTGCCTTTCTATCCGTTTACTACAGTGCTTTTTAGTTTTCTTCAAAAACATAGAGTTAAGGTACAGGTCATTATCAATGATGATATAGGGCAGAGACAACAGCATTGCTTTCCTGTCCTTCACGGGCTCTTATATTATAGTTAAGTTAACAGCCACAAACATAACTTGAAATCAACCAAAGGATATGTGGCTCAGTGCATCATAATCATCAAATAAATTCACAGCAGTAAAAAAAGAAAAGAAAATTCACATGAAATAAAGTGTTTCCTCCAAAAACTCTGCATGGATATTTCCAAGAGGAAAGTGTTGAAGGTCCTGATAGTTTTTATATCTGTACCTAAGAGAAAGGTGCTTGAAGATAATGTCAGTGAAGGCCTGTCCTAGCAGCCGGGGGGAGGCTTGACTCTGCTGGCTGATTCGATTCAGGTTTCCAGTGAGGTGGACCAGGAGCTGGTGGTTGACTTGAGGGATGCTGGGAGACTCAAGGATCCTTTTCAGCCTATCCCCACACTCCTCCACACTCTGACTCTCTGAAAGAAAAGACACAACACCTGAATTCTTTGGAGCATTAAACTAGGTATAAAAATGATTCATCAAATGTCCTTTTTCAGCCTATGTTGATTTTGGCAGTAGACAATACATAGTATTTACACTATATTTTAACTATAACAGATATACTGTAGCATCAGGTCTTACCTTTCTTGTAAATAGACTGCAGTGCATTCTTATTTTTATAGACCACAATGTTTCATATTACAATACATATTCACCAACTGTCAAAGAAACACTACAGGGCTGAAACACTCATGTAAAGAGCTTGGCTGGGGCAATTCTGGGCTTGCCCCAAACACTGCAACATGATGACTCGAGGAGTCACCAACCTTTTGATCAGTGGATAACGAGCTCTACCTTCTGAGCCTTATAATTACCAAGAATAGATACAAGCGACTGCTTCAGTTTTCCTGCTTTTATTTAGTTAATGACACTGAATGTTCATTGTCTGAATGGACTGTCCTGGTGTGCCTAAATCTAGTGAGGGTGCGCTGGGAATGCCTGGCAGAGGCCTAGTCCGACAGATCTTCAACTCCCACCTCTGGCAGAGCTTTGACAGCATTCAACCATGCGCTTTGTCACTGATTCTGTTCATAACGTAACCAAATGGCAGAAGGCTTTGACTTGGGTGGTCTCAAAATCTTGTCTCTGCTTTTTGCTGATTATGTGGTTCAGTTGGCTTCATCAGGTGGTGGCCTCCAGCTTGCACTGGAGCTATTCACAGCTAAATGTAAAGCATTGCATGGGGTCACAATGACCCCATTCAATGATCATCATTCAAAAATTAATAGTTAACTTTTTTGTTTTGGCTTCCTATTTCTTGACTTTTCCTTATGTGATGGGGGCAACTAAGTAAGCATAACATTTTTATGATGAAATTTGGGATGTACACATTTTGCATACATCGACACTCCTCTGGGGTCAGTTTTACCCCGAGTTATTTTAGCTTTGTAAAGCATGTCTTTCTGTGTGTGACCTACTATCCTCACACCTGCTGAATTACAACTGATATTTCTTGTGTGGTGGTGGGTGGGAATCTCCTGCAAGGACATGACAGGACATGGAAAATAAGGGAGGAGCAAACATATAAAAGCTTTCATGACTGCCTTCTATCTAAATCATTGGTGCACTGTGTACTCTGCAATCTGTATGCTCTCTAAAAATGTCCTTTGGGAAAACGTTACTGTCAATGAGTTTTTGGCACAAGTCTTTGACAGTGAAAGTGCGATGGAGGAGAATGTGTCAGAGACAGAGTATTGTGTTGAGGAGGACCTTGGTTTTGAGGAATTCTCATCTGATGAGACTGAGTGTTAACCCTCCTGCTGTCTCTCAACCACCAGCAGACAGAAACCCTTCCAAAAATGGAAAGATAACATGGTCCCTTTCCCAACTCCAACAACAGGGTAGACTTAGTACTGATAATATTATCAAAATGGTTCCAGGCCCCACCAGATACGCAGTCAGCCATGTTGAGGACATCGAGCCATCATTTGAGCTCTTCGTGACACCATCAATTGAAAATATTGTGCTTCAGATGACAAATTTAGAGGGGACAGCTGGAAAGACTTGGGTGTAACTGACTTGAAAGCTGACATTGGGCTGCTCATTTTGGCAAGAGTTTACAGGTCAAACGTTGAAGCAACAGCAAGCCTTTGGAATGCTGAGACTGAAAGGTGGGTACAGTGTTTACCCCTGCTGTACAATCCAGGTCCCCGTGTGACTGTTGACGAGTGCTTGGTTGCATTTTGTGGCTGCTGTCTATTTCAGCAATATATGACAAGCAAACCTAAATAATATGTTTGTGACGAACACACGGCAGACCTGTCCATATTTCAGTGCTTTTCAGCATACTTTACTCGGTTGCTGATCTCACACACAGCTGCAGCTTTTCAGCTTGCAGCTGAACACTTCCACAACCACAACACTACAGGACCTAGTTCAGCCTTAAAGCCAGCGAGGCATGATTGCGGATGCCACTCAGGTGCGTCTGCCTCCCCTGCAGCGGAACCACAGACCATGCCCCACCACAATGCCATCAAAATATGGGCAGCATGTGATGCACAGTCCAGCTTTGCCTGGAATATGCAAGTTTACACAGCCAAGTCCACTGGTGAAGCAAACTCAGGGCAAAAGAGTGGTGGCTGACATGGCCGAAGGACTGCATGGGCATAATATCACACGTGATATTTTTTTTTTATGTCTTATGCCTTGGGTGAGGAATTGCTCAATAGGGAGGTCAACATGTTGGAGACAGGGAGAAAGAACAAGCCTGAGCTTCCTTCTGAACTTCTTGCTGTCAAGAACATGAACGTACCATTTTCAGTTTTTGACTTTACTGAAAAAGCAACTCTGGTTTCCTATTGCTCCAAGAAAGGGAAAAATCTCCTGTTGCACAGCACAATACACAAAGATGCTGCTCTAAGCACCAGGAGAGATAAAAAAAACACAAATGGTCCTGGACTATGAGACAAAGGGAGGGGTGGACAGTGAGTGCGTACAATGCATTTGTTATATATGGTATGAAATTTAAAAAGGACTGGAACAGGAGAAAGCTGAGTTGAAGGAGGATTTTCCTGGAGCATTCCCACCATGAATAATTCAAAGGCTAGCATGACCTGTGCACAATACAAGAAGTATGCACCAACTAGTGCAGGCGAAAACAATTTAACTGTGTTTCCCCACATACATGATGTCTATTTAACATTCACACTCTGATGGATGAGTCAGAGAGCAACCTTGCCCAAGGATATATTTGCTATGTAGAATAGAGCAGCTAGGGATTGAACCACCAACCTTCTGATTAGTAACTGCTCTGCTCTACAAGCTTAGCTACACTCAGCCCTACTGATCAAATGTCACCTAGTCTGTATGGAAGTCATAATTGCAGACAAATTCAATTTGATTAATTGACCCTGTTCATGTCGTGTCTTTATTTGCAGGAAGGACTCTTGCAAATAAGACCACAACCCACTTCCAGTCTAATCTCCTTAAATAAAGGTTGGTAAAGGTCATATTAATTCAATCTATCAAAAGTTAAGAGACAATGTGCACCTGAGACAGGTCGCCAGTCACAGTCACATGACTGGAAGGTTCTCATACTGTGCTCATACTAAGCAGTGGTTCCCCAGCCACTACTTTGGATGGTGAATCTGAGTTTGTAACACAGCCTTGCAAACTCATATTTGACCGTAGCTCAGGGGATTGGGAAGCTCATCTGTAACTGGAAGGTTGCCGGTTCAATCCCCCTGCTCTCTCTGTCCTGGTTGTTGTGTCCTTGGGCAAGACACTTTACCCTACTGGTGATGGCCAGAGGGTGCGATATGGCAGCTGTGGCTACAACTGTAACTTGCCTCCAGTCTGTGAATGAATAGTGGAATTGTAAAGTGCTTTGGGTGCCTAGAAAAGCGCTATATAAATCCAATCCATTATTATTATGTTGACAGAAACATTTAGAGTCTTTTGGTCACTGGATCTGCTGCAGGGACATTTGTCCAAGTTTAAGGCTAAGTTAAGACATCTGACACTTTTCCTTGTTGTTTTAGACTCAGTGATGAGTAGGTGTGTCAACCACACATTTGATTTTCATTTAAAGATTACAGATAGAGGGCTGATCACTGGCCCTTTATCTAAGGTAAGTCTCATAGGCAAGTGGTTTCTTCCTGTTCCAGCATCACGTTACGTTTAAACTAAATGTTTTACAGAAGCACTTCAAACCTGCTGTTACTCAATGCCAGTGGTAATCAGACAAAGTATTGTGAAAATTTATGCATTTGAGCATTCTAGGATATGCTGTGCAGCTCAGCAGACACCCTGGATGGCACATGCACAAACATTTCTCACATTAGAAACATTCCAGCTTTCCTTTTAAACAGAAGTATAGATGTGCTGCCGGGTGAGAAACAGCACCATCAATATCAATTTAAGCACGTAGCTAACTGCTTGCTGACTTTGAGGAGATGTAAAGCCTTGGCAGGATATTGTTATTTGCATTGAGTCCTAGTCCAACAGCCAGTAACGTGTAAGCTAGCCTAATATATAGTAAGGAGAAAATCGCATGGCCTCTATAAATGGATGGTTATAAAAATGACACCATGGGAGGCTGTGCAGGGTATATACCAATTCCTTTCTTGTACTAGCCAGGGTTTAGACAATGGGCTGTGTTCAAGAAGGACCAGACATATTGACAAGCTCTCTCAGCACAGGCCCTTTATCATGGCTAAGAAGCTGCAAATAAAAAAAAAACATCTGTGCCCGAGACTGCTGTGTGTTGACTGGAGGACACAGTGGGAGAGTGCTGATCTTCCATGGACAAACAGACTCCTAACTGCACTCCACACAACGTGTCTTTTTATCTATGGCTGAGTCTATTTGGCTGCTCATGGAGTTTAATTTTTCTGTTTAATTTTGTTTGTTTTTTACTGATTCAGTTTATTTGATTCCTTTTAATAATAAAGTCTCATTTTAAAATCACACCCAAGCTTGTAAAATTAACTGGAATATACTCTAAATTCATCCTAAAGTGTTATGTCTGCTTTTTTTTCTTCTCAACATCTCAGAATAGTGTGCCATTTTACACCTTTACACATATTTAGTAGGCCAGAAAGAGGCAGATAAAAATGTTGCAATGTGTGAAATACCTTTGTATAATTTCTAGTACATCCATGTATCATTTTCAGTGAATGTAACTATGTTGTTTTGACTCCAGTAAGGATTTTGTTACAATGAAACAATGTAAGCTACTGAGGAGAGGTTTTTATAGAATTTAATTAAATTTAAAGCCTGGTGCTGTAAAACTGAAGTTTAAAACTGAGACATTTGTATAAAATGTAAAAATACATTTAAAACATACAAACATTGAGTGTGTTTTCCTGCCCAGAGAGGTGGCTCATGGGGGTTAAGGGGACACTTGTGGTGTATATATGTGTGTTTGGTTTGTTTAAATGAAGGTCATGTTACCTAGGTCAGCCCTAGCTCTGTGTGATCTCTACTGATCACAGACAACTGGCACATTCAGCCCCCCTCCCGTCTGTCGTTATTGATTATTGTTGACCCAACTAATCAATGGAGGTCAAGGCTGAAGCGAGAACTTGGGTTGCCTGTTTGACCCCCTGGGGCTCTGAGAGACTGGACAACTGGACATTAGACTCCTTGGTGTGCCAAAGAGTGTGTGTGAGACATGCTGACATTATGGTGGTTAGGACCAGACCAGCATAGTTGGAGATAAAAATGCCTCTTTTCTCCTGGGTTTTCATGGAGATAAGATGCATTTTTATTTCAGTTGAAATTGCAGTTTTGACTGATTTAGTGTGTGTGTGTGTAGACAAAGGACTTGAAACGCTGTACGGGTAAATAGAGTTCAAAAAGAACATAAGGATCTGTAGAATCTCATTTAATTTTTTGAGTTCCTGGTTACGACATTGCTGCTGATTGCTTCCAGTATGGATGTAGCTTGAATCTATTTTACACCTTTAAGATGATCTGGAATGTAAATTGAGACCTATGCCTAATCAGCCAACATCAGTGGTGACCCTCATTGATGCTCTCATGTCTCAATGGGAACATAATGACGCCAGAAGGCTGGAGCCTGTTACAACAGCACATTAATGCCCTTGAATGCATCAACCCCTCCAACTGAAAAGCCGTTTCTTTTTCCCCCTCTCACACGTTTAGGTCCAGATGGACAGTGATCAGGCTGACTCAGGCAGCTGGCCTTTATCCTCATAGATAATAACCTCTGTGAGAGCATTAAGGTTAACTAATGCTGACAAAAGCAATGAATGAGTCTTGGAAGCATAAAAAATAACGCTGGGGGAAGGACTGGGAAAGGATAAGGAAGACACAAGCTGGAGGAAAACGAAGCCCTCTGATTAAAGAAGATAAGTGATTCACAGACCACATATTTAAGTAGAATGGGAAACTTCTGAAGTAAAAAAAATACAAATGTTCAGATACAAATCTAATGACTTTAGATCTGCAGACATTGTTACTTTAAGGGACTAAGGAGCATTTGTACACATGAGAAAGCAACTTCTTAGATCTTTCTGTTGCTATGAAAGAAAAGTGGCTCAGGCATGATAACAAAAGGTCAACTGTGATCAGGATGTTGCAGGAACATCCTAATTTCCCTCGGGATGAATAAAGTATTCTGATTCTGATTCTGATGCTGAACGAATGAGAGAAGGAATACAGGATTACCATCTTCTCATGACAGGTTATTTTTCAGTATTCAAAAAAGTTTTAAAATAGGAAAAATAGAAATATGACTGGACTAATATAAGGCTCAAATAAAGTTTGAGGTGATGTACAAAAGCATTATAGATTAAATTAAACAGTCATGTTACATCTTACACAGATCTTACTCAGGCAATGTCAGAGAAATTTTAATTTCTTTAATACATAGCTTTGGCAAAAAACAAAAAACACGTCCCACTGGTTGCTTCATATAGAGTACAGAAGGTTTCTGAAAAAAATCCCTTCAGTTTTCCAAACATTTTATCTTTGTTTCTAATAATGTAGGGGAATTTCCCATGATGTGCCACTGACTGGAAAAAAGGATTCAGATCAGATGAGAAAATGACTCCCGGAGAAAAGAACAGCCAGAGGAAAAGTATTTAACGAGAGGGGATTTTAAGTGTTACAACATCAACAAATTTCAAGCAACAGATGAAGACAGAACAATAAGGCTTTTTACTAATTCTATGTATGTGAGTATAAAAACCTGCAACATAAAATGCAGGGTGAATAGTTTACTGATTTACTGTTTTGTCATTATTAATTATAGATATTTTGAGGATGACATCTGTTAATGGAAAATAAGTAAATTTTAATGCGCTTTACGGAGTCCCTATGAACCCCAAAGCGCTTTACACTACATTCAGTCATCTACCCATTCACACACTGGTGATGGGTGGAGCTACATTGCAGCCACAGCTGCCCTGGGGCAGACAAACAGAGGCGAGGCTGCCGGACACTGTTAATGTGAGTCTGTCTCTGACAGGTCTTTTATTTCCACCATGCACAGTGCACACATTAAGCAAAAAAAAGGAGGATATCAAGGGAGGCTTGATGACAAATGGATTAGAGTTTCAAGAGTCCCTAAAAGCCAGGGAGAAGAGGACCTGCTGGGTGGAGTGGACAGCAGGTAAAAGGGGGGGGGGGGGGAGGGGGGGGGGCAAGAAGGTCAGGTGTATGGAAAATGAAAAATGAAAGAAAGATAGAGGGACAGAGACAGAGACTGACACTAGACCATAATTCAGTACAGTTTATGTTGAAAGCTGACAGAGGATTATATTCTTCTTGTTTTTATCCATGGCAAAATTCTGGCGGATGTGACGATACAGCAAACATGCTCAAAACCTTGACATCTTGTCTCTGGTCAAAACAAGTACCTTGGTACAGTGGCAGAAACTGAATTATAGGCAGATGGATGTCAAAATTGTTTCCATGCAGAATAGAGGTTGCATCAGAATGTGTCTTAGAAACTGAAAGGCAAAGAATGAATTAAATCCGTTTGTCTTTGAGCAATGACAATATGGTTAGCAGATGTTTATGAACAGGCATCCACAGAATGTCTTTCTAAACATACAAAGACTACTACCACTGGGGGCTTGAAAGGCACAAGCAATAAAATTGCTGTCCAATTTCATAAGGCCTTAGAAACACAGTCCATAGTGCCCAAAACAGTGTAAACCCAAAAGTATCTGCGTACCTCAGAGCACCTGTTGTTTGTACTGTGTAGCACACTGTACCTTGAGCAGTATAGACCAGCTCACTGTAGATGGTGGCAGGTATGATGGGGGCAGGCAGGTCCTGCAGGAAACCTTTTAGAGCATCAGTCAGAGCAACCACATCATATCGGTTCAAATTCACAGAGAGCAGATCTGGGAAGACAAGAAAAAACAGACATAGCCCAGAGAAGCAAGAAGCGCTACTGTGTTCATGACCTCAGATCCAACCATGGACGGAATAAAGAACAAGGTCACTGAGGGTGCAGGACCAGAGACCAGACCACCTTTGTGAACGTGAGTGTTGTTAGCATTCGCTACTTGAGGAGAAAAAAGACACAGAAAAGTCACAAAAATGTGTGAGGGGGATCAGGGAAGGAAAACCCTCACGTTAATTGCTTGCTAAAAGACACTGGCTGGAATAAAAATCAAACTAGATGTGGGAAGTAACTCACAGATAAGGAATCATGCAAAAAAAATCCTCTTATTATTGGATTATCATAATGTCATTTCAAAATCTAAGCACCAAATTCCCCCTACATAATAAATGTCCATGGTTCACAATAGCTCACATTGTTACTCTTGTGGAATTTTAATAAAACACATGTCACGGTGATAGGTTTTGGACACTGATTTGTTCATTTTTTTATGCAAAAGTCATATTTATTTAGCAAATTTATCCAGGTCATCACCATCATAGTAGATCTATTAGCAGTTGAAGTAGCAGGGGACCAAGAATAAGGCAAAGGCATAAAAAATGGTGTAGAAACCAATGAGTAGGATATTCAAACTCATGTGTAGTTCTGCATCCTCGTTCAGATGGATTAAATTGGAAAGTGAAACGTGGCAGAGTAATGGACTTTTAGTTCTGGTCAAAATGCCATATTAGCAAAGTGCGAGATTGGTGATCTGCTTGATCAGGGTTTATCAACTCTCATGGTCAGTTGCTTCTGGGAAAGCGAGAAAGGACTTTAGTTACCCATAGATAACAATAAAAAAACACAACTGCCCAGTCCACAAGAATTTACAAATCTATCTTCCTCTAGACAAAATAATAGATAACACCCCCGTTATGACCCTGCTTTGTGCTTACGTGAGTACTTCAGCAGATTAGCAAAGGACAAACCACATGGCGTCAGAGGACGTTTTTGCTGTCCTCCATCTTTCACCCCAACCTTCCTCCTCTTTTCTACCTCCATTCATCCTTCCCCATTTAACCCCCCTCCCCCCAGCTCCCTTTCGACTTCTTCCTTCTTGACCTTTCTTCTGTTTGTCTTTTTAAAAAATTCCTGTATCAGCCTCGTTTGCTTTTCTTTTAGCCTTTTTTCATTTCCTTTCCCTTCTTGTTTTTCTCATCCCAGTGTCACCCAAACCACCTTTTCCCCTGTATGCATCAGCCTCTCTAGGGTTAAAATGCTTGTTAAAAGCCATTGATTTCATTCCCTAAATAATGCCTGAATAAACTTAACCATTCACAGACCAGTAAACCAGCAGGCCATTAATATCTACGGATGACCTCTTCACATTGCTGTGCTGGGACTTGCGTTATTGTGCAGTGATTTGTCTAGGGAATTTGATCATCTCAGTGCCGAGACAGCTTAAATTTGGTGTCACCATGAAAGCCAAGCCCACAGGAAGATACTAACACAGTTTTTCTTGTGTGTGTGTGTGTGTGTGTGTGTGTGTGTGTGTGTGTGTGTGTGTGTGTGTGTGTGTGTGTGTGTGTGTGTGTGTGTGAGAGTGGGGGGGTGGGGGTGGCTTGTGAAAGCATAAAGTATTTTATTCTAAGAAGTATTTTATTCTTAAAGCATCTTAAGGCAACTGTTGTAATTTGGTGGTATATAAGTGAAACTGTTTTGAATTGAATTATATCAGGTAAAGTATTGTTGTGTGGTCTTTACTTGAAAGTGCTTAGAGTGGTCAAGTTAGACTAAAAAAGTACTTTATAAATGCAGGTTCATTACATTATAACTGTCCAATGCTAATCAAGCTTGCTAATAAGTATTAGCATTAGCGCTCCAGGTCTGAACTGATTTAGGTGAAGCATAATCAGTCTGTGTAAGAATGTTTTTTGTAATGAATTTGTGTCACAAACTCAAAATATGTAGGCAGATTTATATGAAACACCACAGAAGTATTAATTGATGAAATTCTAATTGAACAACTTCAAACCAGAATTTTAGTGATGCAGTTATCTGTCTGGTTGGTCACTGAAGAAATTAAATTGTTAAATCATTAAAAACGAATCAAATGTCAAGAACATTTTAGCTATTTCTGGATTTAAGCTGACACATACACACAAACACACACAAATTTCCTCTTTACACCTGATCACTCCATCAATTCATCAAGGTCTGACCCTCGCTATGGATCAGTCATCGGCTAGGCAAAGGAACAAAAGGACAGATAAATGGACAGATTAATTAATGAATGACTGAAATGAGGAGAGGGGGGTTAACAGTCAAGTGCAGTGTTTAGCTATTACTACATGTTATAGAGGATCTATTTGGTAGGGTTGGTTGACTGACTTGATTGGAGTAGGTGAAATGTAAGATGTTTATGAATAATACTATGTATACACACTATTTTTAGGTCAGGTGAACTGATTTTATTAAAGCTACACAACGAGACCTGAAGTTACAACATATATTAAGGCAGAAGAAATTATATACATGCATTTACACAAAGAACAAAGCAACAGCAGATACAAACTAGAAAATGCATTTTCTGAAGAAACTGCAGTGTGGATGCTGATAGCTGAATGTGTTCAGCTGAAATGAAATAATTGCTGCATGTTAAGTTAAAAATGTTGAATGAGATGAAAAATACAGAAATTTTCATCTGAAAACAAAAGTTCAGAACTATTGAAAGCAGAGATTCAAACAGAAGAAGTTAAACAGTAAGCGAACATGTTTAACATGTTTGTAAATTAGAAAAAGCCGAGTAATGACAAAAGAAAACATCTGCATAAAAAAAAACTTGAAACCTCATATTATTTTAATCACTGAATGACTGAAATGTGAGAAAATCCACTACAGACAGCTGAATGCCGTAAGTTTTAATCATTCAGTTAGAAAAGATGACTCTAAAAGTCATCATCTGACTCCAAATGCCCAGATCTGAACCACCTGTGTGCGGAAGAAAAAGCCACCAATGAACAATAAGCTTGAATTTAACAGGCCAATCAGAATACCCTATTTAGTTGTCCTGCACTAACTACTGGCATACTGTTATTCTGTGGCAAAACCCTGTCAAATCTGCCTTGGTGCACCTGTTGAAAGACTGCATCTAAATCCTAGACCCTAACTTCCATCAAAACAGCTTTTGAACTGTGAGGATCCCAAGGAATTGTTCTACACAACAGTGTCTCTTTTATCCTCGTGGTGTCAAAAATGTGATGACAGAAGCAATTTAAAAAGTGGGGTCTTTCCTGCTGTTGAGACAAATTCCTGACTAAAAATACAATGTATTTCTATGGGTCAGTTAGAAGGTTATCCCCCTACTTAGAGCCACGCAAATCAAAAAGTTTAAATCTCTGAGCTTTGAAAAACACAATGTTGGAAGAGAAGAACAATGACTACGTTTTGAGGGTAAAATGATGGCTGTAGAGCAAACATTGGGGACACAGCAACAGTTGAAAGAAGTTGAATCTTGGCAGAGTGACAGACAGAGCTCATTAAGCAGGCAGGTGTGAGCCTGGTTGCCCCCCTCCCCCATTGGACAAAAGTTATTGTGAAACAAATGCTTCCCAAGAAAAAACTACAAGTCGTATTGACAAAATTCTTTCACCGTGAGCGACAGCAATGTCTAGTCTACCGAGTTTTCATGCATGTGGAGTTTATTATATGGACATGATGACATTTATGAAAGAACCCCATAATATATACTACAATAATAATAACATTGGATCAAAGAGGACAGCGATGGCTACATTTTGAATGAGAATTTGAAGGGTCCCCCCCGTAAAATACATTATAATTTTTTGTTCAATAAAGTTGAATAATTAAAAAGATATAAAAGTTAAAAGTGAGAAAAGTAGAAGCAGTAATGTCCAAAAGAAGAGGAATTGAATGGTGGTTGAATGGTTTTTCTAAGCTGAATGGTATTGAAGGAGATAGTCGGCGAAAAATGTACGGAATAGATAATAATAAAATAGAAGAAAGAATAGAAGAACAATACTTAATGCTTAATCAGCATCCACACTAATTAGTCTGATGATCCAGATCTGGGTTTGAATACGCAGAAATACCAGAAATAACCAGACTTTAGTTTAGTTTCATTTAATTTCCTGAGTGAGTGTTCCTGTTTCAGTTCAGTTTTTACTGTTTGAAAATCTTAAGGTTTAGTCCAGTTTTTATTAGTTTAAAGACATTCAAAGTCCCAGGAAACACACCAATTAAAACACAAAAACAAGGGATTTTTTAAAAGAAAATTTTACTTAAATATGTATTTATATTTTTTAGTTTAGTTTTATTTAACTATAAAACATTTCACCTTGAGAGGAGATGTGCTTGTTTGGTGGTACACAAATAAAGGTGAAGTGAACTTGCTGAGTCCTTTACAGAAACCAAACAGGATAAACTTCAAGGCTTGTTTAAGTTTTCCAGATTATTCTTGAGGTCAGAACAGCAAGGTGTTTGAAAACAGAACACTTAGTGAATTTTGTGTAAGCTGGAATCAGTACGTATAGGTACAGAAGCTGTATATGTAGACATAAAAGAGGAACTTGATGTCCAAGGTCGTAACATTTAGAACTGACAGAGAACAAAGATACACTCTGAACTTGCAGCAGAGTCAAAGGAAATTTGAAGGCCAAAAACAATCTCAGACTCATGCAAGCTTACAGCAGTATAAGTTAATTAGGTAAAGCTTTGCTTTAATGTCATGGACAAGAAAAGTATTCATTTGGTGGCTGTAGCTCAGGAAGTACAGCAGGTCATCTACTAACTGGATACACTGATTGGAGTGTGAATGTGTCAGAATGAGAGATAGAAGGCACTGTGGTGTAAGAGCAGAGACTTAGAGACAAAGCAAGGTAGAATTAGCTGTCAAACAATTGAAGTGCAAAAAAGATTCTCATTTAAGTCGATGCCATTATGAAAGAGGGCTGCCACTCAAAACAGTACAGTTCTTGAGAAACTAGAAATGTGGCAAAG